ACACTGAAAGTCAATCATGAACAACTTTGCAATTGTGTGTCTCGATTTATTCAATTTTTTAAAAAATGGGGGAAAAATATTCCTGTGCTGAACAAACGTGGTGAAAGTAGGGCAGTCACACTGTCTGCTCCAGGTAGAACGGAAGCACATGACAGCACAACACAAGCATACTGAAACGCTGCTGTCTCACTCTCTGCTGGCCTCCCACAGTACTGAGAAAACAAAGTCATGCTGCTATAAAATCCTGTGGTAACTTCTAAAAGGAAGAAGTCCCTGGGATTGGTCAGCATCACGTATCTCATGTCCTCCAGTTTCCTTTCCCTAAAAACTCGGTATTAAAAAGCAATTCTAGTCAGAGACTGAAGCATATGAGCAACGTTTTCACCCTTTTACATCAGTTCTTTCTAATTTAGTGTGCGTGTCAGCAAATGCTACTAAGGAAGCTTTAAGTGTCCTAGGTTACAACGAGTACTTCTCTAGAAGAGGGACTGTGAACTAAAAATCACACTGGTATTCTGCTTGTGCCTGTGAAGCTCTACAACTACAGGAACACAAATGCTGGCCAAAGAAGTGGATGAGGTACATCTCTGGGACTGGGGACATTTGCTTCACGTAAGGTAAGTCTTGGGCAGGAGATGCAAATGCAGGGGGGAATTATTTTGCATCCCCAAGTGTAACCACTTGGTCCACACAATTTTCAATGAGAAAATTCCAAAGAATAGTACCAAGAAAGTTTTAGAAGTAATGGCAGAGGAGGTTGGGGAGAGTGCCAATTTTCAACCTGAGAGTGAGTAATCTCTGCCTCATCACTTTTGAAGTCCCCATGCAGCCACCACCATTGGAATTTTTTCATTATTTATTATTCAAAGCCACAATATGAGGTCTAGATTATATTTTGTAACTGAAATACAAACTAGCTATTTGGGGACTGGGGAGTTGGTACAGGGGTAGCACTGGCCAAGCAGGCAGCAGACCCTGGTTCAATCCCTGACACCACATATGATCCCCTGAGCCTGGCCAGGTAATGATCTCTTAACACAGAGGTAGGAGTAAGCCCTGGATGTCGCCTGAAAGCAAACTCCCAAAACAAAACCAGCTATTCGGAATAGGTAAGTGTATATATAACATTTGCTTAATGCTATTTTGAAGTTTTAATATTATGCACCTGTTTATTTTCATGTATTTTAGTATTTATTCCATTGTAGCATTTTATTTTTGTGAATATTTTTTCAACTCTGATTTACACTCTTATGAACAATGATGCTTGGTTACGCTTTAATATTGACTATTTAAAGTTTTCTTACTTTCTCACCAGCAGGTAAGAGTTCCACTGACTCACTTATTTGCCCTTTTCCCCTAAAAACTTTCCCACATGCATAAAGTAAAGTAAAGGCCCTCCCGTTGATCATCGATTTGCTCGAGCGGGCCCAGTAACGTCTCCATTGGAGACTTTGTTGTTACTGTGTCTGGCATATCGAATACTCTCGGTAGCTTGCCGGGCTCTCCGAGAGGGGCCGAGGAATCGAACTCAGGTCGGCCATGTTGGCTGCGTGCAAGGCAGACGCCCTACCCGCTATGCTATCGCTCAACCCACATGCATATCCCACTATTATCATAGATGCCTAAATTCTAAACACTTGCTGAAATGACTATTTTCTCTACTCTAAAGTTTCTCCATTTTATATCAGTGCTATTACAGTTTTCATAGGCACAATACTACTTTGGACTCCTCACCTTTCTTAGGGCCACATTCATCAAGTGTATCATGAGCATTATAATTAGGTGATGTTTAAAATGCAATGTCTAACTGCTCCTTACTTTTCTAACTTCACAATTTACTTCATCATCCTTCTATTCATCATTATCCATATACTTCATTAATGTCTTAGTTCATCCAACCTGAACTTCAAACTTTATCCCCCATTTCAACCCCTTCCCTTTCCAAATCATCCAATAACCATCACCAGTATTAGCTTTCCTAAAATTGGGTGTTTTACATTTTACCTTCTGTTCAATAACCCTTTAGTGATTCCTCACTCACCACATAGGCTACATAGAGGACCAAATGTCTTCCCTTCCTTCCCTCCCTGTTATTTGCAAGTCTCTGTGTTAATTATTAGTCCAAATTTTCTTCTATTTTAAAAATTCTGATTACCAAACCCTCTGTACGCACTTTTTGTGCTGTTCTATGGGTATACCCTTCCTCACTGTCTTTGCTCATTAAAATATCACTTCCCTGAATAAAACAAAAATAAAAAATTGCTACTGATAATCATTGTCCAGATTTCCCTGTTAAAATCCCATAACCATGTGCACACGCCCATGGATGTGTGTGGGGGGGGTGGGGGGGGAAACGGGGCGGCAGGGGGGAAAGGTGTTCAGAACCCAGGGCCTCAATTTTGTCTTAAAGTAATCCTCTAAGTTTTCCTAAATGTGATTCCACTGTCCTCTAAAGTGCCACTACTTTTTTTAATGCTTAAAAATAATTCCCTCCTCTTTTGAGTTTTCTTTTAGTCTTTGTTTATTTTTATCTCCCCAACTACATGGAAAGGTAGTGAAAGTAAGTCACTGAATCTTATTCAGCTGACTGGTCCTGATTCTGGAGATAAACCACCTACATTTTAATCACTTTACTATTACTGACTATAATCTTGGTCTCAGTCTTCTCATCTGTGAAATGGAAATAATGACAGTTATTCCTCCATGGGGGCTTGGGGGCCTTATATGAAAGAACACCTGCAAAATCCTGAGGATAGCAGTAACCACCAAATGTTAGCAATTACACCACTACTCATGTCTTAAGCTCCTATAAGATATAAAGTACTACTTTGGTCTATCACCATGCTTTATGTGTAATGTACTCTGATTGAGTCAGTTGACGGAAATAAGATAGACTTGGTGGGCAGTGCACTATAGACTTAGAACTTCCTGGCATCACTAGAATCACGCCATAGATGGCATCACTTATTGTTGCCAGCCAGTCAGACTCTTTCTAATCCCTGGCACTCCCTAAAACTGCTCAACAGACTTTAAAGGATTTGGTTCTATAAGGATAAAACATCCCTCCCTCCTATAAGTAAAAGCGACCTGGTCCCTAAAAGCATTGCTGTTAGTGACCCAAAAAGCCAAAACGAAAACAAAAACAAACAAACAAACAAAAAAAGCAGTGACCTGGTGGAGGGATACCAGAGTTCTGAAGAGGTTTCTAAAAATGTGAAATAGTGCACCTCATAAGCCCCAAAAGAAGCCTACCTGTCACACTTTCTTTACTAGGCTCCAGAATGGCCACTGAATTGGAAAGCAGGCTCTTGGTATGATGCGTCCCTGCCATCTTACCCAGAGAGAGCCCATGGGCACCACTGAAATTCTCTTAGCTTGGACTCCCCATTAGCAACAGATGCTGGCCTAAGAGACAAAGATATTTGTGCTGCTCATCTGAGTCATAATAACAGGTTATTTATTTGCCTAGGGTCTCCAAAGTTGTGCTCAGGAGGGTCTAGCACCACTCCCAGCAATTCTAAACCAACTGGATCAAAGTTCAATGCAAGGGTCTGAGGACATGCTGTGGTGACGGGGATTACTTGGGCACCCTGGTGCTTCAGGGACGAAAGTCACAACCGGTGGTGCTCAGGGGGTGGCCAGGACTATAACACAATGTTCGTTGGAGGGGTACCAGGTGATGTGTGACCAAACGAGGGTGAGCTGCCCTGGAAACTAAGATCGAAGCCACAATAAGCATTATGGATATCACCACCATTAAGTAGGCCAAGCAAATTAACGAATCCAAGTTTAAATGATATGTTTTCTCTTGACTGCAGTTCATAGAGGCAAAGGGTTTGGTTTGGGCAAACCTTATTAAAGGAGAAAAATTGTGATCCAAAGCTTGAACTCTGGTGCAATGGAAGTAAAAAGGTGCTTTGGAGGAAGACAGATCAGAAGCCTTCATATTCAAGCTGTAGAATTTTGCGCACCTTGTAACCCTCATTTTCTGATCGATACAGAGGACTACGACACCCAACACACATGACTGTGGGACCATTTAAATGAGATCATTCATTTGAAGTGAGCTACTAAGGCGGCACACACAGGGCCGCAAGTCCACAAAGATTCCCTTCCCACTCACTCCAAAAGCAGATGTATGCTGCTAGGAGTGAGGACCTGTGACAATTCTCCAGGCAGGTGAACAAGATTGGTAGGTGAAGATTATTTGGCTATCTCTGAAAGGCTGACCTAGATTGTGTTGGGCGTTGCAAATTTCGTGTAAGTAGAAAGGCTCTGTGTTCTTGGCGCTTAGCACCCTGGCAACTCCGGGGCCCAGCCAGACTCCCAACCTTCCCAAAGAGATGATGGATGTGGCTTCGTCCTGGGCTTAACCTCAATGGTGACCTATTGCCATTCCCAACAAAGCCTGTTTCCTTGCAGAAATCTGTCCTTCTAAGTGAAACCCCAGCAGCTTCATTTGTTTAGCTTCCCTTTACCGGTCTTGCCGGTGCAGGGTGTGGCTTTTCTTCCTTACGGAATATTGATAATAAGTAAATAACCTCGGGAAACTTGCCCCGGGAAGGCGGCCTAGCGATTTCCTTGAGTGCCGGAGGGAATGATCTCTGCAGCTGCTGAGTGCGGAAGGTGTCCGCGCGGGGACGACGGGGGCGCCCTCCGGGAGGGCGCCGGGGAAACGCGAGGGGAGGTGGCGACCCCAGGCTGGGCTGGGCCCCGGAAAGGGAGCGAGGGTGGGTCGGAGGCGAGAGGCGACGGCAGCCCCGGCGACCCGGTCGAGCCCGACAGGTTCCTGCAGCTCCCCTCGGCCCGCTCCACGCCTCCCGGGTTTTCCCCTCGGCTCGGGGTTTCCTGTTTCAGTTCTCGGTGATCTCCAGCAGCAGGTGCTGGTTCGCCAACCTCGGTTCCCGGGGAGGCGAAAGAGGAGAAGGAAAAGCGGGAAGGGGAGGAGGAAGCGGCGCGGCGGCGGCGGCGGCGGCGGCGGCGGCGGCGGCTGCGGCTGGCGAGCAACCGGGCTGCGGGCGGCTGAGCCGGCCTCGCTGGGGCCCGCGGAGCAGCGGCGCGGGCGGCGGGCCGAACCCAGGGCCCCGGCGGGCGGGCGGCCGGCCGGCCGGGCAGCATGGGGGAGCCTCCGGCCCGGCCCGCGCCCTAGCGGCGGACGCGGCGGCCCAGGGCGGTGGCGAGAGGTGGCCACCCGCCGGCGGGCCCCGGGGCTGCCCGGTCGCCGGGCATGCAGTGATGGCTGCTGAGAAGAGGCTGCAAGTAGGTTGAGCCCCGGCTCCGGGTGCGCGCGCGGCGGGGTGCGAGTCGTGCAGACCGGGGAGGGGGCGCCGGGGCCGCGGGCCGCGGGGAGGGCGCGCGGGAGGGCGGCCGGGCGCGGCCCCGCACGGGGAGGGCCGAGCCGGCCGCTGGAGCTGCGGGGCCCGCCCGCCCGCCCGCGCGGATCGGCCCTGCCGGTAGCGGCCCCCAGGTCGGTGTCTCGGGGAGTGGGGGGCGGGGGGCCGGGAGCGAGGGGGAGGGAGGCCCGGGGGCCCGGAGGCGGCGGAGGGCCCGCGCCGGGGGACCCCCAGGCCTGGGCGGGTGGGACCCCCGGAGGCGGGGGGCCGGGCGCCCGAGACGCGGGGGTGGCCGAGCGTCCGGCCCGGCGCATCTCCCCGCGGGCAGAGCGTCCCCGCCGGGGTCTCGGCCGGGGTGAGGCCGACCTCGGCCCCGCGGCCTAGGGCGCCTGTCCACTCGCGCCCGCCCCGGGGCACGGCCGCCGAGCCGGGAGGTGAGCTCGGGCGCCCCCGATGGAAACGGACCCGCAGCCCCGCTCCTGCGGCTCCGACCGTCGCGCGCCCGTGGGGTGAGGCATCACCCGACATCCCGGGTCCCGCCCCAGCCATCAGCTCTTCCCATCCCTCCATCCCTCCATCCAGACCTCCCATCACCCACCCACCCACCGCCCCCAACCCCCGGGCCGGCCCCGACGAAAACCCCCGCTCCTGCACCCTTCCCCGCCCGGTCTCCACGGCCGGATCCGCATTTCCGACACCCAGCGTTCGTTCGTTCGTTTGGGCTGGGCTGGGTCATATTTTCAGATCCCTACCAAGACCTCTCACAAACGTAACTTCGAGAAAATGAATCCCGCTTTTCTTCCCTGAGCTGCTGCTGCACCTCTGCAGCCAGTGAAGTCCTCAGCCAGGGGTTCTGGCTATTTGGGTGGTGGCCGTTAGCAATCCGGGTTTGTGCTCTGCTTTGTGATACAGAAACGATGGTCCAGATCGAGGGAAAGTTTTCCCATTGGCTGCAAGACCGTGTTGGAGTATCCCCAGACCCACGAGGCACTTAATTGATTCAGATGATTTTTTTTTTTAAATTCATCTTAGAATTGAGGCAGAGACTATATTTAGAAAATTGGGAAAGTTTTTCAGACCTTCACTTCCTCATTTAATTTTTCTAATGCAGATTATAAACGGGAAACAGTGGATATGCCTCAAACACATTTTTTTTTTTTTACTTTCCAAAGACCAAGAGCAGTCACAAATACAGGGTGTGTTTTTAAGTCTATTAAGAGTTTAGAAAGGATTAATTCCATTTTTAAAGTCACCCATACAGTTTTGTTAGCAATCTTTCAATGTTGATGTTATCTACTATTTGAATACAAAGATAGTTTCGCCAAATATAAAATTCTCTTCCTCTAAACAATCCAGGAAAATACCTTTTTCAGACTTGTCTCTCAATTCACATGCTGTCTTTAGATTGGTACCTTAAAACTACAGAATGGACTAGCAGCTGTTATCTGTAATTTGGAATGTTAGAGTATTTTTAAAGAATGATATTTACTTACAAAGTAAGTTACAGTTCTATCTCTAGCATCATGTCATCACAAAATAACTATTACAAGCAAATTAAAATGCATTTTAAACAGAGCCAACAAAAGAGGTCAGTACTTTTCAACCTGAAGTAATAATAATGAAAGACTAATGAAGTAATCTTCTTATAATGGGAAATATTACAGAATAGGAAACAGAACCTTGGAATGTTAGCATGCTGATGGGAGGTTATTAGTCACTTCCTTTTACTACATTTGTGTTTTATTTACCAGGAAAATAAAAATATCCTGTTTTACATTAATAGCTTCTCTGGAGTTGTGTTTTCAAGGATTATATCTGCTTGTCAAACTGGACCCCCATGTACTGAATGGCAATTATATAAGGGGGTAGGAGTGGGGTTAGGCCATATCCCGGAGTACTCAGGAGACCATATACTGGTGCTGGGGATCAAACAGGGTTAGCAGCATGCAAGGCGCTGCACATTAACCCCTTATCTTTCCATCCCCTAGAAATTATATTTTTTTAAGTATTTCTCAGTCTGCAAATGGGTTGCCTTATCTTCGGTCTAACACACTATAGTAGTTTGTACATTAATTTTAAGTGCTATAATACGTTAAAGTGTTGCTATCATTTTTATAACTGTCATATCATTTTATACCATTTTTTATCCTTTTATATATGATTTTAGTGGGTTTTGTTGTTTTTGACATAAATTCTGATTTGATAGCAATTTTAAAGAAACAAGCATAAGATAGTAAGTAGTAGTACCTTTCTGTTAGAATGTAGGATTCAAAATGATCTGCAGCCATTGCTCATTTGAGACTGGAAATCTTCTATTCCCTCAGCAGATTATTCTTCAGAAACATTCAACGTAGATGCTCTGTGAGGCCCCTGAATCTCCTAGAAGGAAAAATTAAGAACAAATAGAACATAATGCTAAGTGGAATTTCCTCAGTGCCATGAATAGAAAAGTCAGAAATTCAAGTATTAGGGAAGGCTACATGCCAGTTCTTACTAGGCAAGATACAGTACTTGGGAGGGAGTCATTCCCAAATGATCACTGTAAGTTTAGGAAACAGAAGACAGGTGTCCAGTGCATCTGCAGGATACAGCAGATGATAGGAGTATTGGCAGGATTAGAATGAGCTCAGAAAGTTTCAAGGATTTTTTCATCTTTGTTGTTTTTGTGCTGCATGCAGCGGTGTTCAGAGCTTACTACTGACTCTGCACTCAAGAATCATTCTTTGCAGGCTCTGGGGACCATATGGAATGTCAGGAATTGAACCAAGGTTGGCCACTTGAACCAAGTTGGCCAAGGCAAGCTACCGAACCCGCTGTACTACCACTGCAGCTCCTCAAGGAATTTTCTTAAGGAATTGGTTTTATTGGAAAACAAAATACTAAATAGGAAGATCACTAAACAATAAAACTTATGAAATCAGGATTCCAATTTTAAATATAAAATATTAAGATTCTGGGGGTTTATCATAAATCTATCAGATGTTCTAAAAAAAACTATGTCCTATGTGCTTATTAGCCTCATGGATTTACAACATACAAAATCATACCTTTACAAAGCTAAAAATTCAGGAGTCATTAAAAAATTAATATTTTTTATTACCTAATATTACCCTAATTACCACTGCTGATATTTCACTATTTTTTTAATTATATTTTTGTTTAGTCACCATGAAATCACAAAGTTATTCATGATTGGATTTCAGGCATACAATGAATGCTTCAACACCAGTCCCCTCACCAGTGTCCACTTTCCTCTACCAATGCCACCCCCAATGTTATTTTTTTTTAATGCATCTCATCCCAAGTTGGAGTGATAGTAAAGAGATGCTTGCCTTGCCTGTGGTCAAGCCAGGTTGCCCCCACTCCCCAGCACCTCCAGGAATTATTCCTGAGTAGAGACAGAGCCAGGTGTACTGCAAGGTGTGGCCCAAAACATGTATTTCATCTCACTCTGCTCCTTCACTATCAAAGAAACTATTTAGCTATTTAAATGTGCTGGGCTGGAGCGATAGCACAGCGGTAGGGCGTTTGCCTTGCACGCAGCCAACATGGCCAACCCGAGTTCGATTCCTCCGCCCCTCTCGGAGAGCCCGGCAAGCTACCGAGAGTATCTCGCCCGCAGGGCAGAGCCTGGCAAGCCACCCGTGATGTATTCGATATGCCAAACACAGTAACAACAAAATCTCCAATGGAGACGTTACTGGGCCCGCTCGAGCAAATCGATGAGCAACGGGAGGACCGTGACCATGATTTAAATGTGCTACTTAAATGAGAGGGCATGAGAAGTACATACTGCAGGGAAACTTTGGAGCTGATGGTATAATGGTAACTTTCAAATATGTATATAGATATGTAATTTTTTTCTTTGCTTTTGTTTTTATAGCTCACATAATATTCTGTATTGTGCAATAATGTACCATACACCGTACTTATGCATTACTTTTAGTATTCCCCATTTGTAGGTGGGTAAACTTGAGGCAAAGTTTAACTTGCCTCCAGAATCACAATTAGTAAACTGCAGGAGTTTCAACCCATGCAGTCTGACTTATAAGAACTTATATGCTCTTAATCATCATGTACTTATTTATGCATCCCCATGATTCTATTTTTAGTTTAGTCCCTAGAAAGTGTTATTTTGGGGCTGGGAGATAGTACAGCAGGTGAGGTGCTTGCCTTGATTTGATCTCTATCACCATATATGGTGCCCTTAGCCTACAGGAGTGATCTTTGAGTACAAAGCCAGGAGTAAGTCCTGAGCACAGCTAAGTGTCGCCATAACAAAACAAAAATAAATAAAAGTGTCATTTTATGTGTTTATTTGTTGTCATTGTTTGAAAATTAAGAGAAACCTGGTAATTCACTTTATGAGTATGTAAGATAAGAAAGAGCTACAGATGATTTTGAAAAAGTCCTCCAGTAACAGACAACATAGAAATCCTGCCTGGTCAGACAGGTTGAAGGCAAGAACTATGTCTTTTCAGTAAATCTAGATGAACAAGATAAATTGAAAGATGCTCAGTTTACTAAGACCATCCGTGGTTTTACTCATTTTTAAGCTCTCTGACTACAGAGATACAGTGTACTTTTTTGTAGTTTTCTGTTTTACAGGAAACTTAAAAATACATGGGAGTATGAAGAACTTTAAAATACCAATAGCCCTAATCACCAGATTTAGTATTAGTATTACAGTGTTAAATTATAAGCAAAAATCCATAAGCAGACGATACAAAGTGAACTGCCTGTAAGCAGATTATCAAGTCTCTCAGGGTAGACAAATAAATAAATAGAAAATTAAAAAAAAAAAAGTCCCAAACCCAACCCTATGTCTCTTTGCTTGCCTGGAATATTTTCTATTTTCTCACCTTTTGCCTGGCTCCTTTAGGCCCCAAATACAGTCTCACTTGGCTTACTCTAATATGCTTTTAA